AAAAAAAAAAAAAATCTAAATAAATAAATAAATAAATAAATACTGATTGTAACTTTTCAAGTCTTCAGTTGAAAGCAATCTGCTTTCTCTCACCTTTAGTTTTGTTTTTGTGACTGCCGTGTGTACATGTCCTATGGAAGTGGTCTGGAGAGCATTCCAGAGCCTCACAATGAGCCAGCTTACTCTTCACAGGTTGCCCATTGGGTCAGTGATGGAGGAGCAGAGGTTTTGCTTGGGGTCCTAGAATGTAAACTTGTCCTCTGTTGATAATGGAGACCTCTGATTATTTCTTTTTTTTTTTTTAAGTAATTTTTCTGAAGTTATTTATTTATTTTGAGTGAGAGAGCACAAGCAGGGGAAGGGCAGAGAGAGAGGGACAGAGAGAATCCCAAGCAGGCTCCACACAGTCAGTGCAGAGTCTGATGTGGGGCTTGAACTCACGAATCGTGAACTCATGACCTAAGCTGAAACCTAGAGTCAGACGCTTACCTGACTGAGCCACCCAGGCATCCCAGACCTCTGATTATTTCTGATTTGATAGACCCAACACCAAAGCCCAGGCAGCCGTCAGCTCATGTTTATTGCTGGTTATGGGAAAAGTGAGGGAACATGCACACATGTTCAAAATGGGATGATTTTTTGAGATAAGGATTTGTGTTTTGTTCTTTGTGTGTTTCTTTCCTATATTTTCCAGGGCTCCTTATGTTTCCAGGGACTCACAGCAGAAGTTGCATAAAGACAACTTCTCTTCCTGTTTATTTGATGTCTGCTTTCACTAAAAGTCTAAACTCACTGAGAAGATTATTTGAGGTTTCTAGAGTGGGAGGGAGACAAGATGAGTACAGGGGAAGCTGTAGGGGAGAAGGGTGAGAACTTTGCAAAAAACTGCAGAAGGGGCCAGAGGCTGGCTATCCCTGCAGCAGCCAGGACCACGCTGCCATGGTGGCACCGATGGAGGCGGCGTCCTCAGGTGGCAGTGGCCGTGTGGAGGCTCAGAAAGGGGGCGTTCTATCACCCAGACCTCCAGTTCTGGCAGAACCAAGCCGAGGGGGGCACAACTGCCACTTCCAGAGGACCATGTGGGCCGGCTACCGACCCACCTGCCGTGGTCCAGATGACTAGAGTCTGCAGGGCCCGCCCTGTATTTTGGGGACCACATAAGCCTTCCCATTTCTTTCGCTACCCTAGATGAGAGGAGGGAGCTCCTGTAATGACTGAGACTGATTTTTTCTGCCTGCTCAGTGGAAGGGCAAGCTTCATTTTATTTGATTCATTGAAATAAAGAAAGGTGACACTTCCTGCACCTCTGGGTTAGTGGCTAATTTACACCCGAGACAGTTGTAAATTCACAGCAGACCTGGGACACAATGCATAGGAAATCAGATGCAAAGGAAATCAATGTCTGATTGCTTCCTTCTTCCTCCTTTCTTCCAAGCAACACTCTCAAGCATTTCCCGTGATAGGCACTGGAGAGAAAGTGGAGATACAGGAACAAAAGAACAGAGCCTCGTCCTCAGGGGTTCTCAGAGAGGAGCAGAGTCCTACCTCCTCAGCCAGGGCCATTTTGATTACATATTACTGAGCAGGGCCTGGAGTTTGATAATTGCTGATGGCACATAGTGGGGGCTTAGTAAGAGAACATCAAGAAAATTTTTAATTGGATGAAATCAGTGTTAGAAAGTGGAGGACGGTCAGTAATGTATCCTACAGACTGAGAGGCACTTTCGTACTGAAAACTGAAGCAAGCCACGCCATACCGTTTGCACAGTTTTTTCTTCAGTGTAGCTTACTGGCAAGGGCAATCAGGAGAGCGAATGGACCAACCATCCAGGGCACTACGAAGCTATCTCCACTCCTATTCTGTGCAGCCATCCAGACCTTTATCCCCAGATTTTATGGAGTGAGGGCCACGGTGGTGTGGCCACAGGGTAGTTATCTAAGGTGGCACACCAGCCCGCCACAGGGGCTAATAGTTATCTAATATAGCTCCAGCTGTGCCCCAGAGGGACCCTCTACTAGTTACCTAAGACGGTGTCAGCTGTGCCCAGAAGGGCTCTTTACTAGTTATCTAACATGTTGCCACCTGTTCCCAGAGGCAAAAACAAGATGGAGGGCCAAAGATGGACTCGGTATTGCCCAAGTGGAGTTCCTCAGTGCCCTGGAGCCTGGGACTCCATCACCTGGTCCCCATCCAGATACCTGCTCCCACCTGGCCCTCTCCTGTATCCAGCCCTAACTTACAGTTGTCCATTCATTAGATTTGAATTTATGAGGGGTCCTCTGGGTGTGGACACCACTGAACTAGATGAAAATCTGATCTACTGTGAAGAAGGTGAATCAAAGAAAGAGTGGCATTATCAGCCTCCAAGTCCCATTAGGGAAACAACCAGACCAAGCTCCGACCACACTCTCTCCTGTAGAAGATAAGGTGGATCTGGTGGGCCCAAGGGAATGTCAGAGGATCCTCTGACATTAGAACACATTAGTCATGAGAGGCACAGGATATATTCATTATTCTTTTTTGTCAATTGAGGTATAATAGACATCCAACATTATATCAGTTTCAGGTGTCGATATTTGGACACATTGCAAGTGATCACAATAAGGCTAGTTGCCATCCATCAGCACACATAGTTACGAATCTTTTTTCTTGTGATGAGAACTTCTAAGATCTACTCTTCTAGCAACTCTCAAATATGCAATAGTATTATAAACTATAGTCACCATGCTGTACATTACCTCCCTGTGACTTATAACTGGAATTTTATACCTCTTAACCCCCTCATAGTCATTATTCCTAAGCTCCAAGTCCAAAATAAAGAGACAATAGAGGAATAATATGTATGAGAAACTTCTCACTAACTTCCGCGACACATGTGATACAACGTAGTTTTTCTCCTTTGCTCAGATCTCCAACCGTGAGCAAAATACCACAGAACATTCAGAAGTGGTCCAGCCTCATCCTTTCCCTTTTGTCCTGCATCTCCTTGTGAGAGAGCAGATTAATAAGTCAGGAGTTAGGACCCAGAGATACGTTTTAGACTTACACGCTCTGACAGCTCACTGGAAATCAATGAAGTGTAGTTTAAGAACCATCGCACTGACGTGAGATGGTGTGAGACGGTCTTATTCCCACTTCAGGTGTCTCCCCCTCGGGTTCCACTTCGGATTTTGAACTACTGCATTTTCTTTTCAAAACCTCCCTTTCTGATGGAAATGCTATATTGTTATAAAGGAAGAAATTATCTTTCCTAGCCTGACATCATGATGCTGCCAGCCTTCATCCTGCTGCTCATTGTCCTTGGTGTCATTCCCTCAGGTAAGCTCAAGTTAGAGTAAATTAAAACTTCATCACCGCAAAACTATTTAAGCCAGGGAGGTGGAAATACGGTATTCATAATGTTAGGATGATAAAATGTAATGTATAGGTATCTTAGGATAACTTTTAAAATGTGGCTCCAATGAGTAATTCTAGGAAATCTGTATATTGCTAAAGAAATCATCACACCTATGAATTCCATAATGTTTACGCTGTTGTCATTTACTGTGCTTTTGCTTTTGAATCATGAACTTGGTTGGAAGATATAAAAGCAGGAAAAATGTTACCCAATGCCCTGGATGCTACTCAGAATTGTTAAAATATTTGGCACAGCAATTTACTACATCAACATTTTTATATCATATCTACTAATAATCACTATATCTGTGTGTATATTTTATCCCATCTATCCTGTAGACCTATCTACAAAGTTTAATTTGTGTGTAGATATATTTAGTATGTTTGTATATCACAATGAAGCAAAAGTATGCATCAAATGTCTATGAACATGTGCGAGTTTTCTGTGACTACTATCTACCTGAAAGTAGGGGAATTCTTAATAAAGGAAGAGGGCATGTAAAAGGAGAGAGGGAGAGACAGACAGACAGACAGAAGAGAAATGGAAAGAGGAAGAAAATAACTGAAAAGTTTAGGGGAGATGGTCATTTGCACCTGCCAGTTATCTGGGTTTGGGAATCAGTTCCCTTTTTATGTAACTTCAGAACACAAATCTTTTCCCATTGCAGCGGAAACCATTTAGAGCCAGGAGCCAGATGGCAAGAACACACTGTTGCCCCATTAGCAATTTGTATTCATTTCTCGCTAGTATTTTTGCCATGCTTGACTACTGCTATTTTCAGATGGAGAGCCAGAGGCACTGAGATCTGCCCAAGTCCTGAAATAAATCCTAGATTGAATAAATCCTAGATTGCAAATCTAGGCACGAACATACCTGAACATTATCATATCTTTAAAAATGTAGCCTTTCCTCATACTGGGGACTCAAAACCAGTAGTTTTTAAGTGCAGAGGGCATCACACCCACTTTCAAATATCACTAAATTTGGTTCCTGCAAAGTCTGAAATGCAGTTGGTCAGTCGTAAAAATAATCATCAACTTCTGTGTGTTTTAGCATACAATAAATACACATGTGTCTGATGTTTTTTCTGCTTTAATGCACTATCCTATTTACTGTGAAAGAATGGGTTCTTACCATTCTTTCCCTAGGGAAGTCGCTCACTGGTAAGTGGGGGGAGTTGGCATAAACCCTCTTAGTTCACCTATGATCTTCTTCCTCACACAATGATGGTTACATAAGAAAATTGGAATTAGAGGGGAGACTGGTACTCATTCTCCATTGCATAGGCTGCAAGAGTTTGGGAATTTATACTGTGCTGTAGATGTCTGTCACAGATCTATAATCAATCTATGTAATAACTTGTAGTAACTCTCACATTTGTGGATATTTCGAGATCCATTGGCATCTATTTCTATTTTCAGATCAGTAGCACCTTTCCTTAAGTTTTGTAACTTTACTTTTCATTGCAAAGGAAATGGCTTCTTTTTGTTACACAAAACTACCTTTTCCAAATCACAAGGGGCAACCCCTCATTTTTATATTTCTGGCTTTGGTGGAAAGAATAATTGTGTATGGGCATGTGACATCTCTTCTGTTGCGAATTCATGCTTTGTGGGTTTGTGTCTGCTCCCAGAAACAGGGGACTGTCTCTTACTCATCTTCCCATCATTCTTACCACATGGTGACATGTGTTTATTCATTCAATAAATATTTACTGAGGGTGTCCTGTATCCTAGGAATGATTCCAGCATGGGATATGAGAGAGGGGGAAAAACAAAATCATTCTAATAAATTCTCACGCTAGCAAGAATCCATTCAATATTTATTATTTGATTTCACCCTGAGGGTGAGCTCTATGTGTTGACAGCAGAAGCCAGCCTATTTGTGGTATGATTTTTTTGGACAGGCTGGTGACAATAGAAGGACAAAACCAAAATATACCAAAAAGTGTCAAAACAAAAAAAATGTGTCTCTCCCAACCATATTTGCTAAGGTTTAAAAGTCTTAATAACTTTTTTACTCTCTTAGCTAAGGATAAACAATGATGTTGTCTTCAATAAAACCATAAATAAGCATGTGAATTTTCACTGATTAAGTCTTATCAGTTATTTATACCTCAGCGTGCATGAACTTGTCAAAACTTTGCAGAAAGTGTTTTTTTTTTTTTATGTTGATTTTTGAGAGAGAGAGAGAGAAAGCATGAGTGAGGCAGGGGCAGAGAGCGAAGGAAACAGAGGATCCAAAGTGGGCTCAGCACTGACAGCAGACAGCCTGATGCAGGGCTTGATCTCATGAACCATGACATGAGCTGAAATCAAGAGTTGGACACTCAACTGACTGAGCCACCCAGATGTCCCAGAACGTGGGTTTTGATAATTGGGTGAGGAGAGACCAGAAAGTCTGAGAGCCTGAAGAAAGGAAAAGAAACGTGGTCAAGAAGAATAAAGAGGCCAGAACGTCAAGTTATAAGTTTCAAAGAAAATTTCTTTGCCTCAAGTTGGAACTGGGTACCTCATCCAAATCTCTCATGATTCCACTTATAGGGCTTGAGAGAGCCCTAACCTCCTCATGGGTAGTGAGTCCTGTCTAATCCCTTCATAGCTTCAGTTATCTTTACCCAGATGCCTCTTCTGTTGCAGTAAATGGCAGCCAGGAGCGATGTCCTCCAATCAATGGCACATCTTAAACATTGGCTCTTTTTTGTGTCTTCAGAATAGTAAATATTGGGCATTAATAGGTCATATTTTATGGGTGTTTCATGGACATAAAGCATGTGTGAGTTGGTAGGGGCTTACCAATCATCCACCATTTTATTGTTATTGGGAGAATTTAAATGCCTTGCTTAATGAAGATTGCCAAGGTTTGGAAACAAGACCAAAACTCATATATCTAAATCTGAGTCCAGTGGCTCTCAATGTTAAATAAATATTTGTTGGATTCTTGTTCTAACGAGTGACGAGTTTGGCAAGAGACTCCATGTCCAGAGCCAAGAGCAGAGTGCCCTCCTAGAGCACTTTCCCAGCCTGAGTTCCACATGGAGGAAATTACTGGAATCAGGCAGAGAGCTCCCCACCTGTCTGATCACTTGCATGTGCTCTCCCTCTTCTTGCCTTCCACCTGCAGAGTTGCTTACATCGTCCCAAGAGAAATATTTTGACAAAGAAAATGAGACAAAGATTAAATAGGGAGAGGAGAAAAATAAAGGGGGAGAATCGGGATTTAAGGGAGCAATGAAATTCCTTTTTACCAAAAGAAATGGTGACAAGCTGTAACAGGCAGCACACATCCTCTGAAGATGTGCATTAGACTAAGTGTGTGTGTTTGAGTATGAGTCTGTCGGGGTGTGTGTGTGTGTGTGTGTGTGTGTGTAAGGGGTGCAAAGCAAGACTTAATGCAAAGAAAGGGAGGGGACCATGGTCAAGTCTGAAGCAGGATTGCTCCCACTATAAAGCATTGGGTGTCCATCTCTAAGGAGAGTGACCTCAGTGCCCATTCAAGGGACACCAGGGCCAAGCCAGCTGCCAGGTCCCAACTGCAGTAGAGGGAGATTGAGTTGGATTATGGAATACCATCACCAACATTGAGTGTCAACGCCATCAAACAAATATTATCTGCGACCTGGTTTTAGAATATCATTCTTCCTAGGGGCGCCTGGGTGGCGCAGTCGGTTAAGCGTCCGACTTCAGCCAGGTCACGATCTCGCGGTCCGTGAGTTCGAGCCCCGCGTCGGGCTCTGGGCTGATGGCTCAGAGCCTGGAGCCTGTTTCCGATTCTGTGTCTCCCTCTCTCTCTGCCCCTCCCCCGTTCATGCTCTGTCTCTCTCTGTCCCAAAAATAAATAAACGTTGAAAAAAAAAATTTTTAAAGAATATCATTCTTCCTGGCAATAGATCGCTTTAAAGTAAAGTATTTTGGTAAATACAATGCTAACAACAACACAGTAACAAAAAAAAGCAATAACAACAAATTTATGTTCAAAGACATGAACACATCTGCCACTCATTAACTAGGTTGACCCTGAGTAAGTCACTGCCCCTCTTGGCACCCCAGGATCTTCATCTGTAGAATGAGGGACTTAGAACATCTTCAAAGTCCTTTCTAGCTCCATTGTCTTCACTTCGTCATCATTTCACTTGTCCTTCTTATTTAGTGCTGGTATTATTTATGAATACAAATGTTCTCCCATCCCTCCTTCATAAAGCGGGCTTTGGGAAATGCAAGAACCCACTCAGGGAGTCACTCAGCTTCCAAGAGCAGTTTGTTGACTTTGTCAGTGCATTGCTGAGATGTATCTTAGAATATTGATCTTGTCTAATTTATTTAAAATACAAGTCCATTTACAAAACTGGTTTACACACAGATTTTCAGGGATCCAGATATTCCTTAAAACAGATACCCCTTGTCCTAGAAATCCTGAGAACATCTGCGATTCTACATCCTCTAGATCAGTGAGCTGGGGTCACTCTGCCTCCTCCTCCCTCTGTGCACAGAAAGTGCCATTGGAGCTTTTGTGCGTTAACTCCTTCATTTGTTCTTTCCCCAAATATCACAAAGTATTTCTTGAGTCGCTAGTCTCAAAGAATCAACAGTGGAAACAATTTCCTTTCGTTATAATGTTCTATTTTGCAAGGACAAACTAGAAAATTTCCAGAGCTATCGTCTACATCTGCTTCAGTAACATCAATGACCTCAACTTTTATTTGGGGAAGTTCAGGAAGGTTGAAGATTTAGGCAGAAAGCATTAAAACTTTGGCTTTTTTTTTTTTTTTTTTTTTTTTTTTTTTTTTTTTTTTTTTTTTTTTTTTTGGTAAGATCTGTTTGGGTCTAGTCAGCTCAGTCTGCCATAACAAAATACCACAGACTGTGTGGCTGAACAGCAATTTATTTTCTCACGGTTCTGGAGCCTAGAAGTCCATGATCAAGGTGTCAGCAAAAATGGTCTCTGTGAGAATTCTCTTCCTGGCTTGTAAATAGCTGTCTTCTGGCAGCGTCTTTACCTGGCTTTTCCTCGTGCTTGCATGGGGAGAGAGAGCGCTCTCATGTCTCTTCCGCTTCTTATAAGACACCAGTCCTATTGATTTAGGGCCCCACACTGATGACTTCATTTAGCCTTAGATACCTCCTTATAGGCTCTGTCTCCAAATATAGTCACATTGGGGGTTAGGACTTCAACACAGGAATTTGAAGGCATACAAGTATTTAGTCCATAACGGCCAGTACAGATTTATGCTTTTTGTGCCTTGATTCAGACAACAGCTCACCCTCTGACATTGGCAACATGGGTCAAAACATACGAAGGTCCCTGAAAGAGCAAATCTGCTTATTTCCCTTTAGATCCCGACAAAGAGCAGGATCTAATCATTCTCACAGAGGGTACAGCTTTGAGGGTGGCAAGAGCTGGGGATTGTCAAGGTCATAATGTGTAAGTCTACCTCCCTGCAAACTGACAGTAAGATTTTCCTTCCAGGAAAGGGAGTTCAAAAGTACAATTTCTGTTCTCAGAATTATAATGGCTTAGAGTTGTCCAAGCTAAGAAGTCCGTGTGTGTGTGTGTGTGTGTGTGTGTGTGTGTGTGTGTGTGTGTTGGTTCAGACGTTATTCAGTTGTTCTCACCCTTCCTGGAGTGTCTCCATCCATTGTGAGGTGGTGTCTTAAGTAAATTGTTTTCACTGGGCTGAACTGGGACACAAGGGCTTTTGGGGAAGGGCAGTGCCGTTGGGTTCTTGGCCACTAGGACTACACTCAGATTCGTGTAACAATGGCCATAAGAGCCTATCCAAAAGGGAAGATTGTTTTTCTCACACACCAAGAAATTTGGAGGCGAGCGGTCCTGGGCTGGTTGATGGTCCTATAGTGCTATCAGGGTCCCGCGCTCTGTCTGCCCTTCTATTCTGCCATCTTATGTGTGTAGCTTTCATCAGGCTTGTGAGATACCTGGGTGGCCAGATCCCTAGATGCCATGTTCTACCTCTAGGCAGGAAGAAAAGGGAGCAAAGGGTGAAAGATGAAAGGTGAAATGTGCATATTGGACCAAGTCCATCCTCTTCAACAGTATTTCCTACAAACCTCACCCTGTGGCTTCTGTTTGGATTTAAGTGGCATGTATATATCGTATGGCCATCCCTAGCTGTAAGGGGCCTGAGAAGGGAACATTTTAAGCTGGCACCATTCAATTCTGAGTAAACATAGCATCCGTTACTGAAAAAGAAAGGGTAAGTGGCTGTTGAGCAGGGAACCAGCAGTCACTGTCATGGTGCCCACGCAACAATATTCTCCTGCCAGGGGAGGCCGAGGGAGGACAGCTGTGACCCCCTGCTTCTCTCCCCTCCAGACAAATTCAGCTCTGGCCCAAATTCTCCAAACACCACTCAGCAAAGTAGCTCACTATGTTGCTGCACAAGGGTGTGCTCAGCAGCCATGATGTGCCAGGCCCCATGGAGCTGGGAGACAGAAGTAAGAAAGGTTTCATGAAGCTGGCATTTTCCAATGGGGCAGACAGACAATAGACAAAGAAACATACAATATGTTCCAGTGCTCCCATGCAAGATAAAGCATCATTTAAGGGGATAAAGTGTGAGGAGGGATTTTAGATTGTGTAACCCAGAAGGACCTTTCAAGGAGATGACATTTGAGCAAAGATGGGACAAAATGAAGGAATGAGCATGGATTCCTCTTCAGGGCAAGAGTCTTCCCCAAACAGAAGCCTACAGGCATGTTCTAGAAAGAGCAGATGGACCTGAAGCTCTGGGGAGGAGGGGTGAGGGCAGAGTGGGAGAGGGTAGGGGCCATACAAGAGCCTGGGAAACCATGGCAAGGATGTGAGATGTCTGTCTGCGTTTGATGGGAAGCCATTTGTAGGATTTGGGCAGGAACTTACATAAACCTCTTCTGCCTTTAAGAGCTGGTTCCATCTGCTGAGCAGGAAATGAACTGTAAAAGGGGCAAGAGTGGAAGGCAGGAAGAAGGAGCACAAGAATCCAAGAGAGATGATGGAACTTGTGACTCAGGTGGTACCAGTGGAGATGGTGGGAAAGAATCAGAGTTATGATGTATTTTGAAGGAAGTTAAGACCAGATGTGGGGTAGGGAATTCGTGAAGTTTAGCCTGAGCAGGTGAACACTCCATCCCTCAGGAGGCTTCGGGGAATTTCAACTCCTACCTTCCCTCCATTTCCAGTAAGGTTTTGCAGAGTGCTGTCCTGGCAGCCACCCAGCTGACCTGCTCCTTCGTGCTGCTCTGCTTGTTAAGAACTGAAGTATCAAAGTTTGAGAACAGTTAGCTTTTTTTTTTCCAGTTTATTTATTTATTTTGAGAGAGCAAGGGGGAGGGAAGGGGGGAAGGGGCAGAGAGAGAGGGAGAGAGAGAATCCCAAAGAGGCTTTGTGCTGTGCACAAAGATCACGTGAGATCACGACCTGAGCCGAAATCAAGAGTCCAATGCTTAACCGACTGAGCCGCCCAGGCTCCCTGATAACAGTTAGCTTTTCAGATAACTAAGCACAAACATAAGCTCTCTCCATCACTCATTTGCATTTTCATATATTTTTGGAACATAAGAGAAAGGGGTGGGAGCAGCCCGAGTATGTAACCCATCTTATTGACACCTCTGTTTACCCCTAGGAGCATTACGAGTGGGTTTCAAACTTCCAGTTACAATTATAAATAAAAAATAAGTAAGTCACAGAGATGAAAAGTACAGCATAGGGAATATAGTCAATAAGACAGTAATAACATTGTTTGGTGACAAATCGTAATTGCACTTACTATGATGAGCACTGAGTATTGTACATAATTGTTGAATCATTATGTTGTATACCTGAAATTAATATACTACTGTAGGCTATTTATGGTTCAATTTTTTTAAAAAAAGGGTGCATTTTGAATTGCTACTCCCTTAGTAAAGTGAAGTTCTCGTGTACATACTAGGAATGTTTGCTCTTCTTCCTGCTAAGAATCTTTGGGTTTTACTGGGTAAACTTCAGGGTGTCTTGTACATGATCATTGCCCATCATGTGTCACTCAGCAGAAGAAAAGGTTTCCTACGGTAAGCCATACAGTGCAGAATGAGTTGTTGTAGGAGATTAATAGGGCACTGGATATATGAAGAAAGGGGCTATATCTAAAACAGCAATAATAACAGCACCTGGGTGGCACAGTCCATTAAGCATCCAACTTTTGATCTCATGGTTCATGAGTTTGAGCCCCCTGTGGGGCTCTGCACTGAGCATGGCGCCTGCTTGGGATTCTCTCTCTCCCTCGCTCTCTGCTTCTCCCATGCTCATTCTCTCTCAAAGTAAATAAGTAAACTTAAAAAAAAAAAAAACAGCAACAATAAAGCTGCCATGTTTTATGTTTGATAGCATAATACTGAAAAGAAACAAAACGTATCTCTAGACTGCCTTCCTAGACCATTTCTTCAGCCTGAGGGTCAAAGCTTGAAGTTGGGGTGTTTCTTGGGCTCTCAGACATGTAGGGGCGGAGAGGAGTATTAGAACCTGGTTCTTGACCAGGGAGTCTTTGTAAGGGAAGACTTCGTCAGGAGGAAGGAAAAAGAACAGCACAGGGGATGTGGTAGGTGCTCAGTGGATATGTGTGCTCAATGGATACGTGCCAAATGCATTAAAAATGGCCCTGACGTATTCCTGTCATTGGATTATTCATTAAATAGATATAAAATAAGCATGTGCTGTGGGCTGGCACTAGTCTAGGTGCTGGATAAACATCATCAAATAAAATGGATACCATGTCTGCCATCATGGAGCTCAAGGGAAGGACAGATGATGAGAGGTATACAACACATTGTGGTAAGGACATGATGGAGCCGGATAGGGTGCGGTAGTGGACTATAGCACAGGGGCAGAGACCATGTCTGTAAGGAGGTGGCATCTCAGGTGAGATGTGAGGTCGAGGGTAAGGGGGTGGCTGTGGGTGATTGTTTGGGGATCAAGGTGCTGACCTCATGGTGGGAAAATCCCATGAGAGAGCAAAGCTCTGGGTAAAGCATAGAATCTACTTTCAGCCATGTGTTGTGGGCATGGGGAATGGTTAGGGAACCCCTGTATATGCAAAGCTGCCTTTGCTGAACACCTGAAGGTTCAGGCCACAGGATGCTAAACCAGCCATTATACTTTTCCCATTAATTCAGGTTTCGCTCATGATCTTACAGCTGCTGCAGGATTCAGTTCAATTGCTGAAAATGAAGACGCCCTCCTCAGACGCTTATTCCAAGGTTATCAGAAATGGGTTCGTCCTGTATTAAATTCTAATGACACCATAAAAGTATATTTTGGATTGAAAATATCTCAGCTCGTGGATGTGGTGAGTAATCCTTGGCACTAAGCTAAAAAGAACATGCATTCCTTAACCTGTTTGTGAATCTAAGACTTTATTTTGTTTTCTTTCCCCGTGTCTACCATTTCAATTTTAAAAATAACTTACTGTGAGAGAAAATCTGCCCCAAGAGGCCAGTGAAATGACCCGAGGAAGGAATGAGAAGTGCTGGGGAGTAAATTTTCATTGCGGCACTATGAGTGCACACCTCTTTGCTGGGGGATGGATATGGTTGTTAAGACAGACATTGTCCCTGGCGGGTTTGCTGAGAACCAGGATGAGCACCCAGGGAGAACAGAGGAGATGGAGAGAAGAGAGAACTGAGCCGAGGGCTCATTAGTGTCCCCTGGGCTGATTCGGTGTCACCCGAACTGCGTGAGGGCTGGCAGGGGTGTCTACAGGGAGAGAGGGCAGATGCTGCCAGCACCCCCGTGAGCGCCTGGTGACTCATCACCCTCCTGAATCCCCTCAGGATTCCACCTGTTCCCCTGACACCACCCAGACCTTAACATTCTCTGCTCATTTTCCTGTTGGGCTCCCACTTCTGACATGATTGCGTTCCTGGGAAACCAGTGAACGTTAAGCCAGTTCTGCAAAGTCATTCTGGTGCGGTCCCCAAAGTCCCAGAATAATCGTCTCCTGTTTCCTAAATCCCCTGCCCTACCAGTTGCACACTCACCTACCTCAGCTGACTCAATGCCCAAGGATTCCTTCTAGAAAATCATGCAAAACCGATCTCTGATTTAACTAATATTCATTCTTACTTTGCGGCCTTACCATACTTTCTGGGTTATGCAATTAAAAAAATTTTTTTTTATTTGAGAGAGAGAGAGAGAGAGAGAGCAAGTCAGGAAGAGGGGCAGAGGGAGAAAAAGAGAGAATCCCAAGCAGACTCCACACACAGCACAGAGCCTGATGCAGGACTTGGTCCCACGACCCTGGGATCATGACCTGAGCTGAAATCAAGAGTCAGACACTCAACCAACTAAGACACACAGGCACCCCTGGGTTATGCGATTTTGGATAAATATCACCATAATGAGCTGCTATTTGCTTTAATTATTATTTTTTATTTTAAGCAAAGGGAGGTCTTTCTGACAAAATAAATCTAAAGACTTCACTTAATTTGAATTTACATTTTTCTAATTGCCATTTTCTTAGGATGAAAAGAATCAACTGATGACAACAAATGTGTGGCTCAAACAGGTAACTGTCAATCCAAGCATGATATCTGCTAACCTAATTATTTCCATTCTTTTCTATTTAGAAAGACTCTAAATAATATTTGAAAAATAATTATCTTACACAGCATATTGGGTTCCTCAGTAAGATATCTGGGAATGGTTAGGAAGGGTCTATTACTTTTCATTTCCTTTTGCAAGAGTGGGAGAGCTGGTCCTGGAGGCTCAAAAGCATGCCCCAAGCAGACTCTGACACGGAGGCCTGGGCCCACTCCCTGGCTACTTGGAGTAAGTGGGGAAAGATTGCAGAGCGCAGTTCCCCCACCCCACCCCCCTGCTTCCTGCACCCCTCCCCCCTCCGTTTAGGGCACTGCAACTGGAGCAGGCAACCAGGGATCTTAAACTGTCCTTCATCCCCACCGGTCCTCTGCAGGATGACTCTTCCCCTAATGTTTCCTCTCGCTCCCTTTCTAGAAAGAGAAAACAGGTAGGACAGAACAAAGTGAATTTCAGAACAAAGTAAAGCCTGAAACAAAATAATGAATACATATTTTCCTGGTATAACTAAAAAGGCATTTGTTTTTTGTTTTTAATTTTTTAATGTTTGTTTTTGAGATTGAGAGAGACAGAGCATGAGTGCGGCAGGGGCAGAGAGAGAGGGAGACACAGAATCCCAAGCAGGCTTCAGGCTCTGAGCTGTCAGCACAGAGCCTGACATGGGGCTCAAACTCATGAACCACAAGATCATGACCTGAGCTGAAGTCGGACGCTTAACTGACTGAGCCACCCACGTGCCCCAAAAGGCATTTGTTTTTAAAAGAGGGAACACAAGGAGGAGAGAGAGAGAGAGAGAGAGAAAGCAAGTAGGCTCCACACCCAGCATGGAGACGCGAGGCTCAATCTCACAACTCCGAGATCATGATCCAAGCAGAAATAGACACTTAAGACTTAGCCACCAAGGCACTCCCTCACCCCTGCTTAAACTCACGACCATGAGATTAAGACCTGAGCTGAGATCAAGAGTCGGAGGCCTAACCGACCGAGCCCCCCAGGCACCCCTAAAAAAAGCATTTTGAATTATTTTTAGCTCTCTGCTTAGATGATTGCTTTTAGCTTGATTACAGCCTGTTTCCTAAGCATCTGTTCAGAGGGGCTTGACCTAAAGTTGTCAGGGAATAACTACCCTTCAAAGCCTACTTTTGCATATGTGACATAAAGGACAAAATACTGACACTTCTTTGAAAGGAGGTGAGAAGTTTGGTTTCATTTGTTGTTTTTTTGTTGTTATTGTTATTAGCAATTACTCGTTTTTCACTGAATGTCCAGCTATGGCTTATTCTCCCACAGACTTCAAATCTTCCTGGTGAGGATGTCCTAAATATCTCACTTGATGTTAACATACATACATAATATTTTTTGTTTGTTTATATTAAAGTAAGTTAATTACCTATTCAAGTTCAGGAGACATTGTTCAGTTCTGCTAATGGTTTATAGGAACAGTGGGTGGAGATTGTAGGAAGATTCCCTTGTCTTCATTTAGTGTCATTATATATCTCCCACCCAAAAACTTTAGTCAGAGCTACAGAATTACTACCATTTTTACTAGTCTCTAGTCTTCCGATTTTTAAACTGGTAGGTATGTTAGCAAGTTATGAAACGAATCTGCGTATTATTTTACATGCAAATAAAAAATGGCCAGAAGAGGGGCGCCTGGGTG